CGAGGATTTTTAATATTTCAGAAAGAAGAGCTAAATGTCTTCAATGATAAATATGCCAGTAATCCATATCTTAACTTTACAAATCTTATATAAATATATTTAAATGTTATATTTACCTAGTAAATATGTGTAAAACCAATTATGTTATTAGAAGTATATATTTTTGTTGTTGTTGTTGGTCGTGGGGCTTGAACTCTGGGCCTGGGCGCTGACCCTCAGCTCTTCAGCTCAAGGCAAGCGCTCTACCACTTGAGCTACAGCGCCACTTCCGGTTTTCTGGTGGTTTATTGGAGATAGGAGTCTCACAGTTTCTCCTGCCCGGGCTGGCTTTGAACCGCGATCCTCAGATCTCAGCCTCCTGAGTAGCTAGGATTACAGGCATGAGCCACCAGCGCCCGGCCTAGAAGTATATTTTTAAAAGATACCTGTTATTATGTTGTACCTTTCTCACTAAAGCTTTGAATTTTCCTTTGGTAACTCAATATTTAGTTTGGAAAGAGAAATCTCCGTTCTGCCTATCTTAAAAGAAACTCTGACCATTCTTTTGTCTGTGTATTTGACCCAGACTCAATATTCTTTTGGGTACTTATTACATAGTGACCAATTATCTTTTCATCCTCAACCATTCATCTTTTCATGTACCAAGTAGTCACTGGCACTATAAAAATTAAGAATTTATTGATCTCCTCAAGGAATTCACAATTCAGTGACAGATATAGTAAGAATGTATAAAGGAAATACTATTTATCCAAGGGTTCAGGAAACTATTGTCAAAGTGTAAGATGTTATTACAGTAAATGTGGTTCATAAGGGTAATTTGGATCTTTATTTACAGAAGGTATGACAGTACAAGTTTCCTGGCAAATGGCTGTCATGAAGAAAATGTATAAGCAATAACTTCAGAGAAATGGCAAAGCTAAGCATCTAAACTAAACATCTAAAACATTACTGAAGTTGGCCCTGGCTGATTAAATACAGTATTACAGTTTCTACAGCTCATCCCAGGCACAGATGAAAATTTGATTCATTCTTGTTTTTAACAAGTTAAGCTTAGACTTTCATTAATTATAACTTAAATTATTTTTATAAATTAATTGGGAGCCATTGCTCATGTTGATAATTAGCAGACAGTCTTTAAACAAAAGCATTACAGAGACATAATAAGAAGCAACCTAACATTAAGTGGGTAGGAAAGCATGTATCTTAATTCCAAGGGAAACTAAAGAAATATCAGGAACCATGTTAGATGCATGCTAACAAGGAGGCATTCAGGCACTGAAAATGGGAAATAAGGAATCCAGGTTGATATCAGGAAATCAGAAGCTCATTTCCTGATAGGATAGGCAACATCCAAATCCCTGGCCTGAGAGTATTTGGTTACTAACAACCTGAGATAGTATTGGTTGCAGAGACTGATTAAAAAAAATAAGAACTCAAGGTAGCAGCAAAATTAAATAAATCAATCTGTAAGAACTTTTAATCATAACAAATTTAAATTGATAAGCTTTAGGTAACCTTTGTAGGATTAACCTCAACAAAAACTTTTAATCAAACAAGAATGTCTTACTGCATTCAAGAGCTTCATCAGTAGACCTGTTAGTAAGATCAAAACCATGCAAACAAAGGCAGGAATGTATGGACAGAAAATATTTCACATTATAATAATCATTTTAACAAAGTACGTCCAAGAAAGATGCCATGTAGAAACTGTGTTGGATTAACTTTGACATAAATGCCTCTCCTGTCTTCCAGCTTTATAAGCTGTATTTTTCTTGGTTGCCAATATTAACTTTAAGGGTTTCCCTTTTAGTATTTCTTAACAGTTTGCAATTTGCCACTTCTTTAACTTTGAAATATGTGATTTTTTTTTAGTTTGACCACCAATCTATAGAAAATTAAGAATTTTGCTTAAATAACGGTAGCTTCTGTAACCCCCTCTCCATCTCTATCTCTTCAGTTCACAGTTATATTACCACTTTTGAAAGGCTTATTTAGTTCTTTTTTATTGTTATTGTAGAGTTTATGAAGCTAAATGGATGTAATTCATTTTGGTTTCTGGATTATCTTTCTCCATTGGCTTTTATAAATTTTGATGAATTTTTACTGCGTAATTTTGATGCAAATAGTATAATTTACTAAATATTACTGAAAGATGTTTAACTTTAAACATTTGAAATTTTTAAATTGCTTTCTGTCTCTCATTGAAGAATGATTTTTGATGGTATTTTTTATGGTTTTACACTGAATTTGTAGATTGTTTGGGGCAGTATTGCCATTTTCCCAATGTTAATTCTTCCAATCCAGGAACATGGAAGATCTTTCCATTTTCCTAAGTCTTCTTTGATTTCCTTCTTTAAAATTTTAAACTTCTCACTATAGAAGTCTTTAACATCTTTGGTTGGCTTTTATTTTTTTCTTGAGGTAGTTGTAAATGGAGTTGCTTATTTGATTTCAGTCTCTAACGTCTCATTTTTTGTATATATTAAAGCCACTTTTACTTTACACTCTGCTAATTTACCAGTTTTGAATCACCTTTAGTAGCTTGGGATAGGAGTGTATAGGGTCCTTTATGTACAGGATCTATAATCTGCAAAAGGGGATAGTTTTACTTCTTCCTTCCCTTTTTGGATCCCCTTTATGTTGTTCTCTTGCCTTTCCAGCACTATATTGAACAAGAGTGGAGTGAGTAGGTATCTTTCTCTCATTTCTGATTTTAGAGGGAGTGGTTTTAATTTTCCACCATTTACAATGCTTAACAAGAAATGTACTCATTACCTTACTGATGTAACTGATGTAATTTACAAGAAAATAAAGTTTGAAAAACAAAACAAAAACAAGAATAATGTTGGTTGTAGGTTTGTCACACACAGCCTTTATTATGTTGAAGAATGTTCTGTGTATTTCTAGCTTATTCAGAGCTTTTATCATAAAGTGGTGTTAGAGTTTGTCAGAAGCTTTTTCTGCATATATTAAGATGATCATGTTTTTGTTTTTATATCCTGTTGATGTGTTTTTTTAAATTATACTTACCAATTTACATATGTTGAACCAGCTTTACATCTCTGGGTTGAATCCTGTTTGATCATAGTGTGTAATTTTTTTTTGTTGGTTGTTAAATTCAGTTGTCCAGAATTTTATTGAGAAGTCTTACGTCTATGCTCACCAAAGAGATAGATCTGTAGTTCTCTTTCTTTGATGGATCCCTGTCTGGTTTTGGGATAAGTGTAATGATAGCTTCATAGAAAGAAGTTTAGTAGTGGTAGTCTGAGGAGTATTGGTATTAGTTCTCTTTTGAAGGCTTTATCAAATTTGGCTACAAATTCAACAACTTCTGAGTGTTTCTTGATTGTGAGGTCTTTTATTGCCATTTCAGTCTCATTTCTTGTTATGGGTCTAGCTCAGTTAAAGTATATTGGTGTTCTCTAGGAATTCATTTCTGCCAGATTCTCCAATTTATTGGCATAAAGGTTTGCAAAATATTCCCTTATAATATTCAGAATTTTTGCTTGTTTCTGTTGTGATAGTCCATTTTTCATCTCTTAATTTCATTTATTTGGGTGATTTCTCTTAGTTTTACTGAAGGTTTTGTTAATTTTATCAAAGAAACATTTTTTATTTTGTTGATTCTTTGTAAGTTTTTTTAAAAGTCTCTACTTTGTTTCCATTCTAATTTTTATTATTTTTCCATCTACCAGTTTGGGTTTGGCTTGCTCCTGTATTTTTAGGAATTTGAGGTTCATCATTTGATATTGATTTGAGATTTCTTTAACTTGTTGAAGTAGGCACTCATAAACTTTCCTCTGAGTCTTGCTTTGTGCTGTGTCCTAGAGGAGATGGTATTGCATGTTTTTATTTTATGTTGAATTCCAGAAACTTTTGATTGTCCATTGTTATCTCTTCAGTTTTCCACAATCATTCAGCAATGTTCAGTTTCCATGAGTTTGAATATTTTCTGTGATGACTATGGAATATCATACAGTTTCCAAAAATGTTTTTCTATTGTAACACTGATACAGGAAAATGCCCCTGATATGAGCTCAAAAGATAAGATTTTTTCTTTTTTTAAAACACAAGCAATACAGAATTATATTTATAAATTTTAAAAACATCTTCTAGTTTGCATACAAAGTCTATGAAAATCTTTTATTAAATAAATTGAGTGCAAGAGAAAAGTAGCAATGGGAAACTATTTGTCTACCAGTTAAAGTCTTGAAATGAAAGAAAACTCTATGAGGCTTTACTTAAGCCAAGATTTTCAGAATGAGCATTTGTGACTGACTATATATTGACTTTGAATTAGTGATTTTGGCCCTAAGCTAAACAGGACCTCCATATGGTTTCCAAATAGTCATGAGCAGCCTACCAGAATTTTAGTTCCTCCTTTAGAATGTTCATGTTCTTTTAGAATATATTTATAATCAAGTAAATAAAACTGTACACAGTGCCTAAGTATGCATTTCAGTATTCCATCTAAAGTTTACCAGTAGTCTGTAATTTAATGTTATTGCAACTGAAAGAAATAGCCATCCCCAAGCAAATCACAACTAACATTTAAAACTGTTCATACATCAATGGGTCTTTCAACTTTAATTTGTTTTATTCATATGAAAAATTTATAAAATGATTATGGTTCTCCAAACATGGACTGTTTAAATACTTTTTCGTAAAGCTGATTAAATCACTTTTAATAAAATAAAAAAAAACTTTTATCATATAAAGAGGCTCATGTCTATAATCCTAGCTACTCAAGAAGCTGAGATCTGAGGATCAAGGATTGAAGTAAGCCCAGGGCAGGAAAGTTTGTGAGAATCCTATCTCCAATAAAGTACCAAAAAAACCCAAAAGTGGACCTGTGGCTCAAATTGTAGAATACTAGCCTTGAACACAAAAGCTCAGGGACAGCATCAAGCCCCATGACTGGCACAAATAAAACTTTTTCCTTATAAAAGATGGTGTTGTTTACACAGTCCAAGTTTTTTTCCCCCCTTTCTTAATTGTAGGTTGCCATTAGCAAAACAGATATCGAAGACTTGGACCTGTATGCTACATCAAGGGAGAGAAGATTTCGTTTATTTGCTTCTATAGAGTGTGAAGGGCAGTTATTCATGACTCCGTATGATTTTATTTTGGCTGTTACCACAGATGAGCCCAAATGTGAGTACATTTTAAAAGTTACCTTAATAATTGTATCTGTATTAATTATTTTCAAAAGCCTTCAAAGCTGATAATAGCAGAATAATAATGAATAGTAAGGGTTTCTGGTCAGATTAACTAGGTAAGATGGCAGTAAGAATGCAGTTTGAAAAAGAAAAAAAACAAAACAGTTCTGTGTTCTGTAAAAGTATGGACAGGAAATATATTTTAGAATAATTAACATAACGTCTTATACATCTCATTGTTGCAATGGGTGGCGGTCAGGGAGGAGGAGAGGTGAGGGGGGAAGATGGGAAGGGATGGGAAGGGGAAACAAAGGAGGAGGCAACAATGCTTGATAAAGAATGTACTCATTACCTTGCTCATGTAATTGTAACTCCTTGGTACAGCATTATCACAATAAAAAAAAGAATAATTAACCAAAGTAATTTTTTTCAAAAGTCTGTTCTACAGTGTTACCAGGTATTTCTTACAAACCCTTACTGCCTTCTTTTCAGAAAATTCCCCTTTCCCAAACTTCAACCTTATCTTATTTTCAGTATTATATAACACACACACACACACACATACACACACACACACACACACATACATACATACATACATACATACACACACACACAATTCATGCCAGGTGCCAGTGGCTCATGCCTATAATCCTAGCTGTTCAGTAGACTGAATTCTGAGGATCATAGTTTAAAGCCAGCCTAGGTAGAAAAAAGTCCATGAGATTCTTATCTCCCATTAAAAACCAAAAAATCTGAAGTGGAGCTGTAGCTCAAGTGGTAGAGTACGAGCCTTGAGCAAAAACGCTCAAGGACAGTACACAGTACACAGTATCTGAATTTAAGCCCCAGGATTGGCACAAAATAAATAAAAAAGATTCATTCTGCCTATTACTTCTTTCTTGATTCCCCCACTTTTTTGGGAGGATAGAGCAGTAGTGAGAATTAAACTCAACGCCTCATGCTTGCTAGGCAGGGTCTCTACTATTTGAATACTGCCTACAACTCCTGTTTTCTTTTGGTTATTTTCAAGATCGGGTCTTACTTTATGCCCAGGTCAATTTGAGTTGCAGTCTTCCTTTCTGTGTGTTTCTGTCTCACTGGGGATGGCAAGCATGAAGCACTGTGCCCAGTCATTGTTCATACCCATAGCTGGCTTAACATTCCAGCCATTGATACTTTTTTGCCTGTGCTGCCCTCAAACCCTGATCTTCCATCTCTGCCTCCTAAGTAGCTAGGATAATAAGCATAAGCCACTGAGCATGTCCTGTCTATTAATTCTAACTGATCCAGTCTGACCAGGATGATTAAGAAGACTAGTCAAGAATTTTATTTCTATCTTGCATTTGTTCTAGCTGTTCCACATAGCAGCTTATCTTTTAGATAGGTTGTTTCTTACTTTCCCTTACGACAGTAATTCTCAAACATTTTGGCATTATGTACACTAATGCTGACCTCCCTTAATAGGCAGCTGGACTCTTGTATGTGCTTTTGTATTGAACATGTTAGAATATGTTGTTTTTCAGGAAAGAGGTGAAGAAAACTCAACCTTACTGATACAAGTGGTAGAAAAGGGAAGAATTTTGACAGCCTTTTTTTGTTGTTGTGCATTATTGTGGATATTAAAAACGTGCCCACGGGGCTGGCTGGGAAGGTGGCTCAGTGGTAGAGTGCTTGCCTTGCATGCATGAGGCCCTGGGTTTGATTCCTCAACACCACATAAGCAGAAAAAAAAAAAAAGCTGGAAGTGACGCTGTGGCTCAAGTGGTAGGGTGCTAGCCTTGAACTGAAGAGCTATGGGACAGCACCCAGGCCCAGAGTTCAGGCCCCACGACAGACAAAAAAAAAAAAGTGACCACTCCACCAAGTACATCCTTTACACATTTACACAACAGCCTTTTCTGATGACAAATACTCTTCTTTGATCTTATACCACAACTTGCTTAATGGTAGTTGGGCTTGAAAGCATCCAAAGATGGTGATGAAAGAGTAATTAGTACTAAGAGTTTCTGGCCCAATTACCTGGATTGGTGGCAGTAAGAATGGAGTTTGAGGGCAATAATCACTTTATCAATTTGTAATGATATGTTTGAGATGAATTGTATATGGACAAGATGAAGTAGATTGATCTATCTCAACTCATTTCAGCTCACTTCATGGTAACTCACTAAAATCAGTATACCGAATATTAGACTAGAACAGTTGAAGTCATGTTTTCTTTTCTTTTGAGTCAAGAATACAGAAAACCTTAATTTCAAATAAGACCTATTAGCTGTGTGTGGTGGTGCATGCCTATAATCCCAGGTATGTTGGAGGTAGAGATGGAAAAAAAAAATGATTTGAGGCCAGCCTAAACAATGAAAAACAAACCATATATGGTAGTGCATGCCTATGGTCCTAGCAATTTGGGGGGTAGAAGGTAGAAGGATCATAGTTTGAGTGATCACTTAGGTGTGTGATTCCAGTCCCTCACAAGCCAAAGTCTTGAATTCAAACTTTGGTACTGCCAAAGGGCAGAGAATCCTCAGTAATTGGAAACATGAGCTCTTTTGCAAACTAGTTTTTGTTTGTTTGTTTGTTTGATGGTGGTTCTGGGGCTTGGACTCAGGGCCTGGGTGCTGTCCTTGAGTTTCTCAAAGCTAGTGCTCTACCACTTGAACCACAGCACCACTTCTGGCTTTTTCCTAGTAGTTTACTATAAGTAAGAGTCTCATGAACTTTCCTGCCTGAACAGGCTTTGAACTGCAATCCTTAGATCACAGCCTCCTGAGAGGCTAGGATTACAGGTGTGAGCTACCAGTGTCTGTGTCAGACTAGCTTTTAATGAATTGATTTTTGTTGTTTTTGATTATTTCTACTGGAGAGCAGGAGTGAAATCTGTACAGACTTCTTCAGATGTACATGGTAGGTAATTAATGCAATGTGTATGAATAACACTGTCTCAGGGGAGTGATTAAGGCAAAGACCAGATTGCAGAGCTGAGAAGCAGGTGACGACATGAAAACAGTGGATATCAAGGACTCTTTGGAGACGTTTGACTACCAGAAAAAAAAGAAATTCAGCTGTAGTGAAATTTGTAGTAGAGGTTTAATTGTGAAGATCTTTACCCATAATGATTTTTAAAAAGAAGACTTTGACCAGAGATTGTAAAGGTAGTATCTAGAGGAGTAGAAACTATATGATCAAAACCATAAAATTTAAAAGTATTGGTATGTTCTTGTACTGTTTTGGAAATGTGTAGGGCAGGAGAGATTGAGAAGGCTAAGAAGTAGGTAGGGCTCTTTACAATAACAATTCAAAGGCCGTGATAAGAATATAGCCTCTGGTCTGGGAAGATGGCTCAGAGGTAGAGTTCTTGCCTTGCCTGTATGAGGACCTGGGTTCCATTCCTCAGCACCACATAATTGGAAAAGGCCAGAAGTGGCGCTGTGTCTCAATGGCCTTGAGCTGAAGAACTGAGGGACAGTGCCTAGGCCCAGAGTTCAGGCCCCACAACTGACAAAAAGAAAGAATATGGCCCCTTTTGGCACAATGTGGAATTTTAAATATTATTGAATGATCTTTTACAACTTTATTAATAAAGTTGATTAACTTATTACTATTACTCATTTATTTGTGAAATAATAATAGATTCGTAATGAATTTTGGAGAATTGAATAATGGTGCTTCATATAGTACCTGTACATGAGCATTTAATGAATATTGATATCTGTTCTCATCATCATCTCACTTTAATTCATAACCATGATCTAAAATTTATGATATAATGTTGTGATGACATTCATGAGAAAAAAGATACAGTGTATAAATACTTCCTTAAGATTTCTGAAATATTAATACCTCAAATAAATGATAATTAGAAATACATCTGTTGATTTTAATTTTGTTTTTGAAAACTAGGTATCTTGTTTTCCTTTTCAAGTAAAATCTAAAAGGTAAATTCCCTCCTTTAATAATTGATTAGTTTTGCATAGCAACAAGAAATTTTCAATTTAGATTTTTGAAAATACGTTATTTTAAAATAGTTTAGATATTGAAAGTGTCACAAATACAATAAACATAAAACATAGTTTAAGAAATAAAATATTTTAATAGAATTAAAGTCTTTCTCACTTGTGATAGCTATATGTATAGTAACTTCATGTGAAATGAGGAAATTAGAAACAGAAAATTCTCTGAAGAACAATCTCAATGGCTCTTTAGGCTTTATTTTAAAAGCTAATAATATTGAACATGGTACAGTTCCTGAAGAATATATCTTTTGTGAATAATTTACAATAAACTCTACCAAAGTCAAGAGTATGTCTAAATTCCTCCTCTGATAAATAACTTGTGAACATTGCGTAAGAGCATGGGCATATACTTTTATGTCATTTACTTTTCTGTAGTGTTGGTACTATATTTCAGGTGCAACAGAATCAAACACATTATTCAAACTGTTCTGTTTATTTTGAAAGTGTCACTGTGAAATGAATGTATGCAGTATCATAGGGTTACGTGCTATATTCTAATCTACAGAGCTGTGAATTTAGTCACTTGATTATATGTTAGTACAAACTATCTGAGTAAATCCAAGATGTTGTTATGACATACTGATAGAATAAGATGTTGTTATGACATACATAGCTTTGTGAAAATCAGTTTACCAAACTTTTGGAAAATTATTTTAAAGTAAGTTTATCTTAAAGTAAGTTACAATATTATCTTAAGGCTCATACCTGCAATCCTAGCTACTAGGAGGCTGAGATCCTGGTTCAAAGCCAACCCAGGCAGAAAAGCATTTGAGACTCTTATCTCCAATAAACTCATAAAAAGCTGGAAGTGGCACTGTGGCTCAAGTGGTAGAGTGCTAGCCTTGAGTATAAAGAGGCTCAGGGACAGAGCCCAGACCCTGAGTTAAAGCCCAGGACTGACAAAAAGAAAAAATGAGAGATGTCAACTTGGTGTTAGTAGCTCATGCCTGTAATCATAGCTACTCAGGAAGCTGAAATCTGA